TTTGATGGGATTTGGTCGAATCGCTGCTCGCTGCCAACGATGGTCAACAAGAAAACGAATGCGCTAGCTAAGGCAGCGACAACGAGCACAAAGGAGCGGTGGCAGCGGCGCCGTCAATGACGATACCGACATTCTGTGAACGACAGCAACGGCGACGTTGTGACTGGGTCGCTGCCTGTTCGTTACGTTACTTAGCTCCTTTGGATGTTTCAGAGCAACGCAAGGGGTTGATGCCATGCCGAAAATGCCGGAATGGTATCTTGGATGAGAAGTGTGTTGACAAGTGGGACGAGATGCAGGTCATCGCGTAAGTTTCTGCATAATTAATTGTCTTTTTTGGTTAAAGCGTGATCTAATTTTAGTCGCAGTAGGGTACTAATACTTAGTATTGCCACAAGCGTTAGTATGAATGTACGATCTTTATATGTACAGCATATATTCGAAGACACTTTAAGCTTTTCTCAGAATTACTTTGCGTTTACCACTGACTTGCCACTTTCATGGTTTTGAATATTCGATATTGCTGAAGTACATGGGTTTAGATTTTGTGGGGATTTCCGATTTTCGTTTAACATTCGTAGCTTCATAAAATGTATTGAGTAGCACCTGCAACAAAACTCGATGTTCACTCATATAAACACCAACACATTAGCACCAACAGCACCACCATTGTATTTCGTGTCGAAAATTTGAAAAAAAAAAACCTTTTTAATTGGAATTATACAGCTATTCGCACACTGCTTCACTTTATTTAACACACTTTCGAACTTGTTTACGGTTTTTGCACTCTTTTCATAATGAGCATAAATGAAAATACAATTTTCATACTTGTTCCACATTTTCAATATTTTTCATGTAGGTATAAGATTACTCCTCCGCCGTCGGAAGCGTCTCATACACCCTCTTTCGTACACACACTTGGCTGCTGCCTATACTACTTCTACTAATTTTGCTACTGCTCGTGCTGTGGCTGCCACTTTTCACTCCGGCAACACACATCCCCAACCAAACATGCATGCACCCGTACACCACCCGCTGTCCCACTAACACTCTCTACGTGTATATTGAATTTTCCGTATATAGCACAGAAAAATTTTTTCCCAATCACATACGAAATTCATTTCAAGATTTTTCACATTTAAATGCATTTTCATAACTTGAATTTATCACACAAAGTTGAAGCTGCACATGCTGCTCCTGCAGCTGCATACAATTTTCACTTTTAGCCTAGTTTTACCCAATTTTTCTGAGAATTTTCCTGGAGCTATCAACGATTTTGTCTAACCATTCGGGGGAAAATTCAACGAACCTTACACTTCAACTTGGTCACAATGTATTACAAGCAGCTACATTGCTGCTATTACCGTTATGCATGTGTCGCTGTGTGCGTGTATCTTGGCTGGCGTTTGCATGTGTGCGTCAGCCAGGCCAGTCAATGTCTGTTGGCATGTTTGTGTGCTATGCGCGCGTGAGTGACCTGGAAGGCCCCAAATAGAACGAAACGAACATATGCCACACGGTGCGGAAGCCTAGTGGACAACCAACTGGCCAAAACGTACACAAAGTATACGTATCCACTTTGAATGCAGCACTGTGCGTCTTTGTTCTGCATCGTGCCGTTGCTAACGAGTCATCCCTGTCGCCCATACAGCAGTACCGTTACAACTTGCAAGGAAGCAAGGAAGTGCGCCTGCCAACCCTCTGTGCGCAGGGTTCGTTTGGTGGCATTGCCAACGCTAAGTGGCGCTTATGTCAGTTCTGACGTTTCTGCTCGACTGCATGTATGGACGCATGTGTGTGTATGTGTGGGAATTCGAATGACGTTACGCTGTGGGGGAGAACATACAACGGAATGTGGGATGGAAGATTCACGTCACTGCGGCTAATTGATACTTTAAACAAATAGTTTTCCGCCTTCAAAACATTAACAGACAATCTAATTACGGAAACTTGCACTTTATTTCAATGACGTCACATCGTCCAAACACATCTGTGATTTAAAAGCACTTCTTTAAACCTCCCATATATGTATATAGTTTCACATTTTCTAAATAATACGCTCGACTTGATATACCTGGTCTCCTTTACAACTCACGAATAACTGTTTATCACTCTTTTCGACTGGAAATCGCAGCACTTTCCTATTGACTTGCTTCCATTCAACTTTTGTTGTCATCATAAATCAGTAAAAGCTGATGACACTTTTATACAGAAGATGGCGCTCTTAAAGTTAAGATTGTTTCTTTTATCAATAATATGATCTAGATGGCGCTGTCACACATGCCGGAGAACGGCTTTATTTTAAACAAATAGTGTATGCAATAGATTTACAAGTCTTTCAAAAAATAAAAGATGAACAATAATTCTGATTATACTTAAAAATGAAATCTTATAGAAACTATAATCATATGACTGACGTGACTGAACAGGGCAAAATATAAATTATTAGTTATATAATCACAATTATTGGCTTTGAAGTGCCACGTTAGGTCAACCAGAACGATTGCATCAAAAAATTTTCCAAAAAACACCCCAGTGAGTTATATTTATTTCTTAATAACTAAATATTAAAAAACAAGTGAGGAGGAGTAACGTTCGGATTCATACGAACATTTTATACTCTTGCAACTTGCAAAAATCAAATTTTTTTTATTGTATTTTTAAATGCTACAACACCTCCAGAATATTGTCCTAAATTTTCAAATTGATCCGATTAATAGTTACGGAGATACAGTCTTGGGAACTTGTACGCTTCAGGCGCAACTAGGCGCTGTCTCTAAATGGCTTTTTCTCAAAACTTTTACACAGATCTTTGAAATACAACTCTTAAAGACTTGGGCGAAGCTTTTTTTCGGCAAAAATCCAATTTTAAATTTTTTTCCTTCGTTAAAATTGTGAGTTAATGTTTTAACTAAAACACGTACTCTTTACATGATCCTGTGAAGAGTTATATGCCAACGCGGGCGGACCTTTTTTCCTGTGGGATCACCGGTAATGGCGTCGCAATGACCAAGTCTAAAAAATTTTTTCACAAAACTTTCAGAATTTCTTTGTTAATAATGTATTGTTAAAATTTCATTTTTTATATGAGGAAAACATTTTTTTGAAAAAAAAATACTGTTTTTACCCGATGAAACCCATGTAACAACTTAATGTGTTAATTGTCAACCGGAGGATAGGTGTCCAAACAATTATATATACAGTTGAACTTTGTTAACTTGAAGCACCATAATCCATAAACAACTTCGGGTTAAAGTGAGTTTCACTTGGAGTTAAATAATATATGTATTAAATTTGACTTCTATTGCCAATTCAAGAGGTCGAGTTATATACTATACATATATAATATACATATATACACTTGACCTGGGTGCTATGTAACTATTATCGGAATTTTCGAACATTCGCTTGACTTTACCCCTTCATTGCTCTATATAAGGCACAAAGATACACTATTATAATTAAACACGCCCTCTTAATTTCATTGACATTAACCCACACGTCAAATGTCAACTATAGATACTGCAGTCCAAATACTCGGTACCTAGAGGCTTGAACAGTTTTTGCAAAGTTTTATCCCGTTAAATTAATTTCTTCTTGATTTCTATACTGCAAAGTGAAAGAATCAAGAGGAATTTAAAATTGTGCCATATGGTAAATACGTGTGATTGTTGTTTATTCCGGGCACTGTGACGTAAAAATGTGAGAAGAGTGCCAAATACCAAATTTAGTCGAAATCGGTTGATCGGATCCCTCGAGAGGTGATTTTACCTAAAGGGGGGCGAATTTAGTTATTATTACTTTATTGGTTTAGGTGATATGTACATTAAACTTATTATAGAGCGGAGGCACGCCCACTTTTTTACCCTCTTTTTCCCAAAGATGTCCCTTGTTACGACAATCTCTGTACCAAATTACAATTTTATACCTTAATTTGGTTCTTAGTTATGGCACTTTATATATTTTCGTTTAATGGCGTTTTGTGGGCGTGGCAGTGATCCTCCGTCGTGATTGCCATGAAAGCCTTCTTCGATTCAGCTTTTTTGTATACCCACAATTGAGTCAAAACGGTGTCCTCGAAGTGGTCATTCGAATTTCTGAATAGCCAGAAGCTACACGAAGGTAAATCAGGCAAATGCGGTGGTTGCGGCACGATAGTAGTTGAAAATGTGGCGAGATGATCTCGAATAACCAATGCAAGGTGAGATAATGCATTATCGCACTTCTTACAGAAAAAATTGGACCAAATCCGTTGAGCAGCTTCTGAATACGAACTGCAATGTTGGTGCCATGTTTCGTTAACATCCCTTAGCAGTCTGTTAGTTATCACAACTTAACTTAGTTTAGGCAAAATATAACAAAGATAACATATAGTATATTGTCTCAACATTTCTGTTTAAACTGACGTCGCAATATTTTAAGTGTGCCTATTTAAATTGCAATCGGCAATAGGATGCTTAACATTCGAACAAATGTGCAAATTTCTGTTCCCATTTCTGAAGCAGGTAACAGATCTTTTTATACAACTTGTAACTCAAGTAAGCCGAAAGATTGTATATTGAGGTAAACTCTATCTAAAAGTGATATAGAAATTAGTTTATCCCATAATTTTATGAAATGCTCTATAGTTGGTGTGGCGGACTCGATAGCCATTATAATGTATAATATAATGTACTTTTAAAATCATATATCACGATGTAGACAACTTGTGTATTGATTAAGTTAGTTAACTCTAGTAATCGGCTGATGGAAAGCTTAAATATTTAATTAATATTTATAACCCTACTATATTTCTTGAAGACATTTGAAAAGTATTATCATACACACCTTCTGCAAGACAGCGAATTAGATAATTCAGCTCGGTAGAGTTTGGCTGCTCGTACTCGTCAGTACATTAGAAATAATATTACAATAAATTTTAGTTTATATTCATTATCTTCGTCGCAATTTACAGAAAAAAGTAGTATGTTCATTAAGTTATAATAAAAATAACAACTTACATTATATCTCCTAATTTCAGTCTCGTTTGAATAAGAGCACAGCTTTTGTGGTCACTAGTTGTCACGGCGCGTCTGCGCCTTGGTGGTATTTTTGGCACATATTGCGTATTATACATGCCGATGCTACCGGGGCCTCCGCCTCCACTGTCTTCTAAGCTTGATGTCAACATGCCGCCACTTATGCGAACCATTGGCGATGAACCTCTTCGTCGATTCGACATGTGACGTCCGGCAACACCTCCCAACATTCTGAAAAGAAAAATAAGGTATGTGTAGTTATAACATTTATTCGACAAATGGTGTGTTAATGTAAATATTATGTTGTTATGGGAGTGTTATGTTATGTATAGTATGAGCTTTTTACGATTTCTTTGCCTTGGTTTGTGGGAAAGGTCGTATTTGGTATAGGTAGAGGTAGGTTTCTTCACTGAAAATGTAACGAATATCCTAAATTTACAAACTTTCATCAATAGCATATAGTATTTTTTTTTTTTTTTTTTTTTTTTTTTTTTTTTTTTTTTTTTTTTTTTTTTTTTTTTTTTTTTTTTTTTTTTTTTTTTTTTTTGTTTTGAAAAATAAATAGGACATTTATTTTCGATATAGCGCTCACTAAAAGTGTGCTCACTAAAGAAAAATTGGAGTTGCTAAGTAGTTTTGTATGTGAATCGGTATAAAAATTGGATTACAAGATGCTTTAATAAGTAAAAAGGACTTTTGGAATCTAGCGCCCCTTGGTGATGCCATCTATAGTATATGTCGACTGGTGCCTCAGAATCTGCTGTCTTTATCGATTGTCCAGTGAGAATTTCGTGACATTTCATAGCTCGTCAGGATATTTGTGTTATCAGTGCGGAAATGAGCTTCGACCAAAGGCCAACATTGAATTTTGTTTTAAAATTGGTAAAGTTTCAATTGATGAAACAAGTTTGTGGCGATGATTGCCTATCCCGTTACAGAGTGCACGTTTTCAAAGTGATCGTGAGGACATAAATGACGATCAACATGTGGGCAATCAAAATCCGTGATCACTGGAAATACCATCGAAACTGTTCGTGAATTCATCAAAAATCAGCCGACATTGAAATTTAAGTAAATGGTATTGAAAATCTTAAAAACATCGACATATCGCATTTTGTCCAAACATTTGGGCTTACGAAGGGTGTGTGCTCGGTTTTTTTCCGCACAAATTAACTGGCGACCCAAAATTGCTCAAAATCCTACATTCGAAGGATCGATTGTGACTGATTATTTGATCAAAAATCACATTTAAACCATTAACCACTCGTTGTATTCGCCTGATAAGGCACCGTGCGACTTCTTCCTTTTCGTAAAAATGCATTTGCCCAGGAAAACGTTATGCAGGCGGAGAGGCCATTCAAAAGGCTTATTGAATCGTTCAAATATCACCGTCCAAACCACACTCGTGCAGCTAGGTTTGTTAATAAACTATTTTCATTTCAATCAAAATCTTTCACTTTAATACTTAACCTACCGGTATGCCAATTCTTTGAATATGCAAATAAAATTTTCTTCATTCATATTTATTATATCATCGATATTTTTCCTGTTTTCCAAGAAAAATTTGCTATGCGGCCTACCCACGTGGCCGGTGGGGAAAATATTAGAGCTACATATATGCATACAACAAATCAATTGGAATCAGAAAGCGATAGTTAAGAAGATAATATTATAAATAAGCGTCCAGGACTGAAAAGAAAGAGAGTTTAATTGACATCCGAAAGTGAGACAGATGTAGAGGATCAACAAATCGAAACAGCTGCTGATGGAACAGTCCCAACCCTGGCAGGTTACCAATATATAATATGCTAAGCGACATATTGAAAGGGAAAATGGAGACGACATTTAATCTTATCATTGATCAGCGTATAATTCATCATATTATCAAATAGACAGAAGCAGAATTTAGGGTGTTATAGACTAAGTGGGAGCTAAGCGCAACAAAAGAAGATGCATTCATTGCTTTACTGTTTGCTCATGGCGCATATGAGAAAAAAAATTGGATATATAATATTTGTGCAATAAAAATTGGGGACTCATTTTTTTCGAAAACAATGAGGCTAAACGACTTTACTGAAATTATGAAGTTTATACGATTTGAAAAGAAGAGCGAAAGAAGTCAGTGTTTACAAGCCAAAAAGTGTGCCAGATATCGAAAACATGGGATCGATTTACTGAAATTTCAGATGTATATTTACCCAATGTAAGCATGCCAAATAAACAGAAATAAAGCTATGGTCGGCGTGTGACGTCAATAGTAAGTACATAAGAAATGGAGGGACCGTTCAATGCATCTTGGGGACTTCGTTGTCCTAAAGTTTCCATTGATTTACAGGATGCGAAAGGAAAGTAACAACGGATTGTATCATTAGCCAAGAAATTACTTTCAATAAAACTACAATTGTTGGAACACAGCAACAAAATATGGTAAGGAAACAATTAGATTTCAAAATAGTACAAAATTTGGTGTAGATGTGGCAGACCAGATGGCAAAAAAATACAGCATTTCAGGTGTTTTTAAATACTTTGGACCTAGCTGGAAAATATTTCTGGATTTGGTACCAAAAAACAACGGGTGAAGACATTTCCGGGAAGGAATTTTCGTTTCAGTTAGCTTTAGAACTCGGTAATGCTTACATAAAATCTCAAGAAAAAAGCTCTTACCAACACCGTCCCCAAGTTCTGCTTTGTCTGTAGGAAAAACTTGCCAAATAAATTTTTGTAACCGTTATAAACAACAAAAATTTGTTGGAAATGCGAAAAATATGTTTGCCGCAAATGCACATTCCAGACGAAAATAATTTGTGAACAATGTGAGGAAGCCGAATAGGGTATAAGTATAATGTTGGCATTGTTGGTAGGATTAGTGTTAAAATAGATAAATAAACCACCAATTGAGAATAAAGGTTTTCGCCTCTTCTCTAAAAAGGTCGCTGGCAACTCTGGTTTTCCATTTACAAAAATAGACGTTGAGAATAGATGTTGAGATTCTAATAGAGGTCTTTCCTTAAAAATAATGTGTTCTGGTGCTAAAAATTAATCAAATCGATTATTTATACTTAATTTAAGGATTTTTGAACTTTTAGCTGGTTGTATATATCGGTCAATATTTACTTGCTTAAATAGTATACATCAGAATTAGAGCTAAATATATCAATAAAGCTAAGCCATAATATATCGATTACCGCTATGCCATGGTAAAGAAAGTGGCATCGGTTTATAGCGATTTGTGTTAGTTAATTCGTAAATTAAGCATATTTTGGTAAAAAAAATCTTACTGAGCCCAAGAAGTATGTACATTGCAAGTTAATAAGAAAGATAGTTACGCTTCGAAGAGTAAAAGAAATGCGTCTTATTTAGGGTACTTTACCTAATACCACTACTCAGCGACTTATTATTCTTTTAAAGTAATGTGCAAACGGGAATTTATTCTTATTCGAAATATTCGAAACCAGGCTCTGCGTAGTGATCACTTCACTGCGTTATACATCACTATTTATCAACCACTAATTAAAAAAGACAACATGTATAAATAACAATACAAACCACAGTTGCCGGGGACCTGATGCAGAAATTATATATAAGGCAATTAATTAAGTTCCGTAACTATACTTTCTATAAACATCCGAGTATATACTCTCGCTTATATTGAAATTGACTTCCAGGCGAACAAATACACTTTCACATAACTTGCGAACTCACAGAAACACCACATTAGTGGCAATCGCCAGCCTTCAATCCGCCATAGCCAGTCAGGCAGCCGCTACCCATTGGGAAGGAGCGTCCAATATTGATACCCGATGTGCGCCTGGCGCCATCATGTGGTTTTATATGGCAACTTCTTTTGGCTAACTAGGCAAATTGAATTTACCCAAACTGGTCTGATGTGACGACACCAAGAATTTACATGTATTACAGCACCACTTCGTAACAAAGTTACAAAAACTCATGTGTACGTAAACGCATATGAGTTTGTTTGTGTCAATGCCAGCACATCTCCACACACAAATTAATAAATTGAATCAACGCGCATATAGGAACCTAAGTTCAGTTCAACGAGCATATGCACATTTGTGTGAAAAGCCAAAAATATTCGCATGCGATGGTATAAACTTATGTATACAGGGTGGCCATAAGTGTTCCGGAAACGAACATATTATTCAGAAATAGTAATGCAATTACCAAAGATCTTGGCAAAGGTAGGAAGAACGGTCTGAGTAAAACTTAATACAACCGTACCAGTCGAAATCATACAAATCGTCTGCACATACATTACTAAAATATTCTAAAAAAATGTCAATAAGACTACTTCCCTCTGCGAAAATAATAGAACACTTATTTTTTACTAATATACAAATTCGGCAATGCTTGTATGTCATAGTGGTCCGTTATCGACTGTTCCGAGCAATGATCACCTTCATGGGAAGAAAAGGACGTGTACAATTTCAGAACAATATCTCAAAAACTGACGGTCTAGTTCGCGTATTAACAGATAGACGCATGGACGAACAGACATAGCTCATAATGCTAACCACTTATTTATATATTTTATAGAGTCTCCGACGTTGCCTTTTGGGTGTTCCAAACTTCGTGATAAAGTAAATATACCCTCTTCTTTACTTAAAAAAGATTAGAAAAGATTCGAGCACAGCACGATGTAGCTCAAGCCTTTTATAAAAGGTTAAACAAGTTTTACCTTTCCTCATCTATAAAATATTGAAGTCTTATTAAAATAACCCAACTGAAAATAACCTTTAAAATTGTTAATTGCATATTTGAACAACAGTGGTTTGATGCATCTCTCTCCGCAGTGTGGCTTAATTTTGTGAGAATAAAATGTGAATATGATCTTAACTAAGGCCCTAATAAGTCAAATGATCAAAATGGGCAGTATTCTCAACCACAACTTTGAGCTGAGTAATTTGAAATATATTTTAAATGTTACGATATATTAGCTTTTACCGCGAAATCCCTCGCATTGATCGTTTAAATAAATATATAGGATTATAATCAAAAGCAAAGGAATAAATGAATAAAATTTTTTACACGAA